CTAAAACCATAAATGTTACTGTGCGCGGGTAGTTTAATCAGAAACTAAATCTATGAAAGACAAAGTTATATATATATATATATATATATATTAGGTTTGTGAGACGATTTTTTAAAATTATGCAAATAGAATGTATTATATAATAATATAATACAATATATAATATATAATATAATAATATAATATATATTATATTATTATATTATATATTATATATTGTATTATATTATTATATAATACATTCTATTTGCATAATTTTAAAAAATCGTCTCACAAACCTAATAGGAGTTTTTATGTGTATTACTATCTAAATTTCTTAGAGTGAATTTTCCTAAAAATAAAGTAAGCTACTCTTGAATTTAAATAATTTTTCATTCATATTGAGTGAATTTTCCACTCTAAATCGTTGAGTGAATATTTTTATTTGATATTGAAGAGTAAATCTGATACACTCCATTGTCCCGCACATAGAAACACAAATTCACACTCCGACCCAATTAAAAAATTCGGTCATGTGGATTGAGAATACATTCTGTTGCTGCAATTCTAAGGAGAATCGTAAATCTCGTAACTTGTTCTCGTAAAATTCGTCATAACTTATGAGTAGATTTACAAGTCCATGCAATATCATATCGTACAATTATTCGTAAATATCTACGATTTCATGTAATTTACGATATTTATAAGTGATTATACGACATATGATATTGCATAGATTTGTAAATCTATTTATAAGTTCTGACGAATTTTACGAGAACAAGTTACGAGACTTTGATTGAGACTATTTAAAAAATATTTCATACATTTCTTAGAATAAAATATGGAGAACGAATTTTCCATTCTGAATCGTTGAGTGAATATTTTCCTTAAAATTAAAGAGCGAATCTGATGTACTCTATCGTCACAGAAACATATTCACTTTAATCGATTAAAATTCATCATCGATTTGTTCGTATAATTTTGTAATTGGAATCCACAAACATTTTTGTAATTTTGTGTAGCAATATTTTCAGTGTCGCTTAGAATGAAAATATTGTCACTTTCCACTTGTTTTTAGCGAGATTCCTCTCTAAGAAATATACAGAGTAGGAAATCATGCGAGTCAACGAAGGTTAAACTTGCAACACGGATTAACGACAGACCAGGTAGTCGCTGAATAAGTAAGTCGGTCAAGGCTGCCGACTCAAATTATCTAAATTGAGCGTGCAATTAACAATTCGCATAATATGAAAATTATTAAAATAACAAGTGCAAGAAGAGAATTGTTATTGTGTGTAATAAAGAGATGCGAGGCGAGCAAAATAATTACTGACTGCGCGATCTTCTAAAGGTGAATTATCAATTAATTAAAATAGTGGCCCGGCGTGAAGGGCGTGGTCGTGAGTATATTTGCGTTTCCCACGTGGCGTCACGCAAAATACATAAAAAATGAAGGTAAAGGGGCTTTGCGTAGACATGGCACGTGCCACCATGCCGCGAGATAATTAATTCGAGGAGGAGGAGGATGAAGAAGAACAAGAGGCAAATAATTAATACAATCTCATTTGTTCGAGCACTAAAATATCGCCTCACTCTCGCGATAATTCGGAAGTTTCGCAACATTTAATGTTTATCTCTGACGCTAAAAAGCCATCTTTTTAGGTCAGTTCCTTTTAACTGAACCAGATTGTACTCTTAAAAAGAGTGAAAGAAATATATATTTTATCGTTGAAGAGAAAAGGAACGAAGTGTATCGATAAAATTAAAAAAATTATACCTCTTGAGTTGGTGTTTATATATAGTCAATTTTTATATTTAAGATTATTCCAAGTTTATCTTTAGATACTGCAAGGATCGTTTCATTGGCTATGGAGCACTCGAAAATAAAAGATTAACATGATGTCACGCGATTAACATCTAGAAATCTAGAAATTATATTTTCGACCTCAATATTCCATTTAATGTCTACTTTGATACATGTTGAAATCTATATCGACCTCTTTTGATTCTTTTAGGTTGACCTGTAAATTGCGGATTTTTAAACAAAATTGAAAATGCATTTTATTCTTATTAGATACCATTTTAATGAATAATATATTCGTCATTCTGTTCCACAATCTCTTGCCATCTTTCACGTAATTTCATGATTCCCTTCTCGTAAAATAAGTTTCTTTCTTGTACTTTTCCGGTGAAGAAAAATGTTCCTAGTGATTTTTCACATCATTTAAAGAAGCGAAGTTTATACCGTCAAAAGTTTTATAATGAGCGAAACAGATGATAATCGGGACAATGTCGAGTGAATATAGTGAGGTAAAATATTCCAGACTCAGAATTTTTTCAGAAGTAAAAAAGCATAATACACTGGAATAACTCATTACTGCCTTCATAATTATAATTATATAAACAATTCTCATAAACTTTATAATAAAATTTTGAGCTCTCTAGTATAGGATTTTATACGCAGACTTATTGTTGTGTGACATGAATAATATAATACATCACTGCGTATGCTTCTGTATTCTTATGTAAGTCACGTCATAGCTACGTGATAAATCCGCAACACATGAAAAATAATCTCATTTAATCTGAATCCGACTATTTGGGATAGAAAAGATTATATTTACAAATTATATTGCAATAACTGTTAATTATATGTAGGAAAAGTGAAATAAATCCGTAACATTTCTTACAATTAAAAAGAAATCATGACCAGAAATTCCAAAATCAATGAATCTCATAAAAAACTCAAGTATAAAAATAGAAACAAGAAAAAATGTTCCAATGAACCATTTTCAAGCCACAATAAAGACACTTGTACTTCTTTAAACACTATTATTTATCTCAAAAATATGCTCTCGAATGTCAGCTATCAAAACATATACGTCAACTCTGTATGAAACTATCTTTTTAATATTAATATTTAATATTAATATACGAATACCTCAACTAGATAAAAATCTGCACGAACTTATGAATCAACCCAATATTTTACTTATCACTTTTGCCGAGAGATTTTTAAACTTTATAAGTGACATTTTGTTTTTTCTATCATTTAAAAAAACACCGAAACAAATTCATAAAATTTCTTACAACTAAAAAAATATTATGATTAGAAATTCCAAAATGAATCAATAAAAATAGGGACAAGAAAAAATGTATTCACCGTATCTAATTTTAAAAAAGTGCTTGTAAATACTACTAGAAACATGCAATGTTTCTGTCATAAGCTATTTTGTACACCCAATTAACTCTAAACATCTCGTAATTCATGTATATTAAACATGCATTGATTTTATAGAACATATAGAGGTTAAAAAGTTCAAATCGAAAGTAGAGCTAAAATTTCGTTTCAGGTGATTTTTCCTTTCATTTTTACTTAAAATCAATGTTACTTAACACTTTTGCTATAAACATAACGTATGTGCGACAGCAATGATTCTTCTGTCCATATTCACATAAAACTAATTTTGTTTGATACGATTAGGGGAAATCGGGTTTGGTCGTCATACTTTTTGCATAGTGATTAAAGAAAGATGTATGCAATATTTTTTTAAATATTGTGCACGTTTTCATATAGCTATAACCTTTAGATAAAAGAAAACAAATATTATCCTTATAAATATTTATACACGAGGAAGTTATTAAGTTGTAAACAAAGACTTTATCTTATACCCAGATTTGATTATCACATATCTTTCATGTAAAGGAACTAAACAACAAATTATTTCTGTTTTAAGTTTTTTAAATGTTTTATATTAAAGTTAGTGATATCTTATAATCAGGTAGAGTAAACAATCATTCAGTTAAGAAGATAATAATTCTCATAAACTTTATAATAAAATTTTGAGCTCTCTAGTATAGGATTTTATACGCAGACTTATTGTTGTGTGACATGAATAATATAATACATCACTGCGTATGCTTCTGTATTCTTATGTAAGTCACGTCATAGCTACGTGATAAATCCGCAACACATGAAAAATAATCTCATTTAATCTGAACCCGACTATTTGGGATAGAAAAGATTATATTTACAAATTATATTGCAATAACTGTTAATTATATGTAGGAAAAGTGAAATAAATCCGTAACATTTCTTACAATTAAAAAGAAATCATGACCAGAAATTCCAAAATCAATGAATCTCATAAAAAACTCAAGTATAAAAATAGAAACAAGAAAAAATGTACTCACGGCGTCCAATTTTGAAAAAGTACTTGTAAATACGACATACATTTCTATCATGAGCTATTTCGTACACCCAACTAATATGACTCAAGTAACCTATACTATAGAGGACTATGCTTCCCCATTTATTACGTGAGATATAAGCTTTGTGGCAACTGACACGTGTGAGTCCTAGACTCAGTTTCTCCTCGGTTTCTCCTAAAACAAACAACGTGGTTTGTGAGAAGAGTTTCCCAAATAAATCATAGAAGCGCGAATGTTATTATATTATATAAATATAATATATATTTAATTTTTATAAATGTTAAATAACTTCTATATATATGTAACTTTCATATAAATAATCTTTACATATGTTAAGTATAAAATGTATAGAGCTTTTAAGTATTCCTTGCGGCTCTGTTGGATCATGACGTCTGAGGTTAGAAATAATAAGAAAAAAATGAATAAAACTTCAGATCGCTTGAGTATACTTATAAAAACTATCCTTTCCTTTTGACAGTCAATAAATAACCATGCCATTAACGTGACAAAATCACGAGGAAAGATAGCTTAAAGAGGAAGATTACAGCCTACGTTAATTTTGTGACTATTTGTTGACTGTCAAAGGAAAAGGATAGTTTTCGAACCACTTTCCAAGTATATTCAAGTGACCTGAAGTGTTTTTTTAAATCTACTTATTTGAAAATAGCATGCAGGAATTTTAAGCATGCGTTTTCTCGCTTCTGACGTCACGAATCACGAGTTTCGCTATGAAGGACCAGGAGCTTTAATCTTTGCCCTTCGATTTCTCATTTTCCTCTAATTTCTGAACGATTCTATTGGCTGCACAGTTGGCCAGGGCTGCCGGTCGCGCTACCATCACCAGCCTCGCCATCCGCGGTAATCGTCTCACCGGAAACGCTGTCTAGACACAGCAGCAGCTCACCCTCGCGCGTCCACCGGCCACCCCAATTCGCGTTGGCCCTGCCATGCTCCTCGCAGCCGATTCCGGCGGTCTGCTATCCAGCGCCGACCTTCCTCGAGGTCACCGACGAACGGAAGTGGAAGAACCTTGGATGGTGAGTGAGCGAAGTGGATCAGATCGTTTCGTCATCGCCCGGAGGTCGATGTACCCGAGCGCCCGAGCGAACGGGCGCTCTCTCGCGTGTTTTCAATCGCAGCTGATTCTCAGCCATTGAATGTCGCGCGCGCCTGCGGTTATTAGCTCAACGCTTTTCACATCGGCGGAATGTGATTTTATTTGTACAACTTTGCGGAGCTCGTGCGGTAATCGAGTCGCGTGCCCAGGAACCCGATTCTTGACGGCGTATGAATGAGATACGCCTGCGAAAATTTATAGTGTACGTAACGTGAACTATAGGATTTTCGTATGCGCATTTCTCATTCGCATGACGTTGAGAATCGCCACCCAGAGAGTCGCGAGCGAGAAGGGGATCGTCGTTAATGTTAATTGGTTTGTTAAATTCAGACGCGTGCATTTTTTTAATTGCACTCAGGCTCATTAGTTGAATTATTAATTTAGCGAAACGATGTTGTTATTTATGATAATGCTGCACGTGTGAGCTTTGCGTGTGAAAAACGCTTGCACTCTCGCTTCCCCCCGATACGCACGCGCTCGATTTCGCGAAGATTCGTCACTTGAATCCGCTCACGTTGCCGACAAATGGATGCGAAGGGGGAATGCCGGTCGCCACGGAAATTTCACGTGATCCTACAGGTTATCCTGACCGACGTCTGCACCGCAATTACCGGTACTTTATGAATCAAACACACGCGTACAGGCGACCACGCGATTACTCGTAATTGAGCCAATTCTTACGGGGGTGGATGTATTTGCGGCCAATGGTATCTCCGCTGTAATGTTACACGATGACGAGAATCTAACTAACGATCCATCATATACGCGTGTTGCCCTCGATCTCCCGTTTTCGACGATTCCTTTGGCAAATTATTTTCATTTCAGTCAGGAATGGAAATAAATTACGTCATTATAGATATATTCAGTTATATCAAACAACGTTCTTTGCTAATCTTGAATTATCTGCAGCGACTTTGTGTAAGAGAAGAAATTTGTTTATTTATACAAGATTTTTATATTTATTTATATGTTAAACGGAAAAGAAAATCTCCTTTTTAATTACAGTAGATATAAATTCAGATTTTGGAAAATTAAATTTACAAAACAATTTAATGAAATTGATGATTCTACGGGAAAAGAAAATTATTGATTATAGCTTATTAAATTATATTATATTATACTTATGTTAAATTATCGATTATGATAATTTGAAAATTATATAATTATTAATTATTCTGCAGAATATCAATCTTCTATACGCAGAAAAAAAATTTTTTGCTTTGAAAATATCTTTATTCTTGACATGTAAATCTTAAAATAAGGTTACATAATGTTAAATGAAGATAACTTATTGGCAACATTTTATGTGATTTAACAAAGGAAAAATATATTCTTATTATTATTTTTTATTATTCTTATAAAAATATATTTTTATTATACACCAAAATTTATTTTTCATGAATGAAAAGCGTGAAATGTTGGATTAGGAATATGATGTCTTTGATGAAATATCGGAAGAAGATATTATTATCACCAAAATAATATCATGTACTACTTATATAAAATTCTTATCAAATTATAATATTCACCTAAAATTATAGCATTGTTGAAATTCAAGACTTAAAAATTCTTTTTACAAAATTATATGTTGTTGCTTATGAAACAATGATTGTCAATTTAAATAGATTAGTTTTAAATGCACATAAATTTTTGTCCGTATACAGGATGTCGAGGTTACCTGTGATTCTTTTTATTGAAATACTATCAATTAATCGGCTTAATATACGCAAGCAATGATATTCGTTCGCTTGATCGCGGTTTATCGATTGAAATCCCTCTGGCCGATAAAAGCCTGAGTGGATTTACAGACAGGCGGATTTTATAGAATTCCTTGACAGCGCGTTTCGAATGAAGATCCGCTTGATAGTCGGGACGTACTAATCGAAGAGGAGGGAACGTGCCTCCTCAAAGTACAAGCCGGAGATGGATCTATTTCCTCGAGCGAGGATTTAATCCGCGCTCGACGCGGATCCGCGTTTCATTCAGCTTCAATTTCCGTTTCTGCTGCAGCGACGCCCTGGCGACCACTTTGAGCGCGTTGTACGGGAAACTTCTGGTCGTGATGGGGATCGCCTTTCCCATGGCGGAAGTAATATCCACGTACATACCGCCATCGTTCTACGAGGCTTTCTACCTCTACCTCTACTTCGGCAGCATGATCTTCCTCGTGTACATGTACGCCATGTTGTTCAGGGATGGCAAGTCGAAACCAAGTAAGTTCTTTATTACATTCGGAAAGCCCGCGTCGTTTCCCATTGGTACCGATAAAGATTCTCAACTTGTGGGAGGTATCTCGATTGCGGTTCCACGACAGGTGTACTCGCGCTTGACAGGTGTACCCGCGAGAATAGACAAAAGCAGATCGGAGACGTGCCTTGACAATCGCAGCCTTAAATTCCGATCGATCTACATTCGCGCGCATGATGACATGACGTTTGTATATCAAGCTCGACGACCTCGTCCTATTTCCCATCGAAATTCCTCTCTCGGTCGACAGCGATCGCCGAAACGAGGTGACGGCGTAGAATCCGAATAGTCGGTGGGTAAAAGGTCGCAACTTTTTCCTCAATGAACTTCAGAACGGGCTCTATGTTATTAGAAAAAAAAAAATCTTCTAGAAATTACTAAAAAACAAATTCTCCTGTTGGATGCTAATGCGTGATGATATTTGTTAAAAAGAAAAGTGTTGCGATCTTTTTTTTCTTGACTACATGGAAAGAATTTTATAGTAAAAATTACTGTAGAATTTTGTAATTGAGGAACATATTTTGCCTGAATTTGTTCTCTTTGCTTCTCATATGTGCCATTTATATTTTAGGAACTGAAATCTATTGTTAAAAAGAATTTGTTACTACTAATTTGGCAAATTTTTATATTTTTGCTTAAGGGAATGCTGAAGTTAATAGCGAACTCCAAAAATAACGTAGAGACAACCATCATTAATATAATCATGTTATCCTTTTCGTATTTCTTGTACTTATAGATTTTACGTGAGTGTATGTTGCTTTGCACATTTCAGCACACTTAACGGAAAACTTAACCACGCAGACACATATATAGTAATCTTTCTGCAAACTTTTCCGACATTTTTAATCTTGTTAATTCAGATGTAAAGATACAGCATTAATCTTTTTTCAAATTTTCCTGAACGGAGCAAATTCGAGCTCAGTATGTACAAGTTACAGATATTTTATATTAGGCAAATATTTACTTTAACTGACAGCATTTGACAAACTAATTACTATTTGAAACGTCAACTTTAGAATTTTTTATTGATTTTGTTATGTATTGAGCAATACTCCAATTCATTTTCGCATATATTTTTATTATGTAAGAGAGCATTTTTAATTCTGTGCAGCGAATACAACATAAAGTTTGCAGAAAAACGTCAGTTATCTGTCGGTAAAGATTTCGACTCCAGCTTCCCCTTAAGGGGATGACGAACTCGAAAAATGTCGATAACGTAAAAACGGTTGTCACTAAATGCTATGCTATGCTTTTCGTATTTTTTGTACATGTAGATCTTACGTAAATGTGTGTTATTTTACCGGGTATATTTAACGGGTAACCTAACCAGGCATATATAGAAATCTTTCTGCGGACTCTTCCGATATTTTTAAGCTTCTGAATTCAGATGCGAAGTACAGCAATGTTTTTCAAAATTTTTCTGTTTGGAGCATCCACACTTTCGGTATATATATGATTTACATTAGACAGATTTAGATTAGGCTAAATATTACGCTTAAAATTTTACATTAAAGATTTTTATTTCGTTTTCGTCACATATTGAGCAATGCTGCTATTTACTTTCGCACGTACTTTCATTGCGTAAAAGCATTGTAATTCTGTACGACCAATATGACGTAAACTTTGCAGAAAAATGTCAGTTTTGTCGCGATAAAGTTTTCAGCATCCCCTTAATGTTATTTGTTAAAATCCTTCATAGGTAATTATATATTCTTTTATAACATGATTGAAAAATTCTACTTTCGCTAAAGCGATTTATATTTACTTAGGAACTGATGTCTATAGAGAATATTAAAAAAATCGTTACCTATAATTTACTATCTAGTTTGAAGTACCAAAATTTGTATTACGTTCTCAATATAAACTCTGACAGTTCATTTCTGCGCTGTCAGAAACATCGTAAAGACTTTATGTGGAAAGAATTACGTGTATAATGTTCTCTCTACACTGGCAAAAATACTTGAACATTCATTTGTGGGATACACATTTTCAAGTATTTTTTCTCAGTATATGTGTGCACACGCCACGATCATTGTCCTGCGATATAATCGGGATAGCCGACTGATTGGTCTCCATGCTAAATCGCGATGCAGAAAAGCAGAAGGACGTATGCGACCTAGACTCATCGCGATCGTCGAGCGGCGCCGGCGGCGACAGCGACGCGCCTGAGACCGGATACCCTCACGTGAATCCGGTACGTCCGGTCCAGCACTACGGCAGCTTCTACCTACGAATGGGCGCCGTGGCATTCGGCATCGGCTCGATGATCTACTCCGGACTGGAATTTGGCCAGTATTTCGAGCTGGAACGCAACACCAAGTGTCACAATATCATGTTGGCTCTCACGCCCGCCACGAGAATGGCCTTCATCTTCATCCAAATGTACTTCATATTCCTGAACAACGAGGTGAGTGAGTGGGCACGCTCGGCGCGAACGATATGTATGTGGAGTGACCTACAACTCGCGGCCTTAATTTTCACGACAAACTTCACGGAACGGATGATTTGCAATCTGATCTTTCTGACGGACTTCTTTCCATTTTACGCGTTTTTTCGAGTCGATCCGTGAATTAAAATTCTATTGAAATCCGCCAAAAAAATCAACTACCCACACAAAATTATGTCTTAAAGACGTCTAAAAAAGTCTTAAAACTTATCTCAAAAACGTCTTGTATCCCGACTTAAGACGTCTTAAAGACATTGTTTTAAAATTATCTTAAACACTGTCTTAAAATAACGTTTTCGAGATGTTATCTTAAGACTTATATATTAAAAAAGAAGGATATTTTATTAGGATATTAAGGATATTTTATTTATTATCGTTTGTTCGCCACAGACGGTTGAGAATTATGATCAGACTGTGGATTTGCTCATCTGTCTTGTTCAGAGTTAAGTTTAGATATTGATGATAGCTAACGAATAATGATGACATTCAGCACACCCTATACTTTAAATATGTTGTCAAATAGCAGTATTTGGTAATACATAACATAACATTTAAAATACAATGTCAAATATCATTATCATTTACTATCTGTCATCGATACTCAATCCTAATCCTGAGTCTAACCATAATTTTGAAGAATCTGTATAGAAGAAAGAACATTTTTACTCGGTACAGCAACTTAAAACAGCAAACTGAACAAATTATCAAAATTTATAGTTTAATAATTTCTTTAAGATTTTTTTATATGTTCACGTACATAACGCTCGCAAGCTAAGAAATCGTTATGACAGTTGCTATAGCAACAGAGTACATAAATCTCATGAGCTGCGCTCACGCGCTGTAAGTGTCATTCTATTTTTATCGTTCATCACATACGGAAGCAAGATAAAATAATGCTTACAGCACATAAAGAGCTAAGAGTCCGGACAAAAAGTTAAACAATAAGACGTAATCAGTAAGTAAGTTGATCAATCATAGTCGATGATTCTTTTTACGGTTCAAGAATTAGCGACTGCGATTGGACAATTTGTTTACTGCTTACGTTTTACTGCTCAAGTTTCTCTGTATGCCATAGTCCTAACGCAACCAGATGCAGTAATGTTAATAATTATACATAGTCTTAAAAATATTATTCAATAAACGTTATAAAACCGTATTAATAATCGTTACTTGAAGTTTATCTCACGTGAGACTGATTTTTTCAAAATTAGATCTGAGCTTTTTAGATGAATTATATGTTATTTGTGACACTATATCTGTACCCAACTAAAAAACTCTCATCTAACTTTGAACTTAGATCTCACTTGAGAGGAGTTTCAAGTAACAACTATTAATATAGGTCATAAAAATATCTGAAATAAGACGTCTAAAAAAAGATATCCATAAGACGTCTTTTAAACACGCGTGTTGTTTGGGTAAAGATTTACGATTTTGTGTCTAAAAAGAGAAAATTTTTATTCAAAGTATCAAATAAAATTCCTTTTTCATCTTTTCACGGAATATAATGCTACTTATGACATTACAGATTTAAAAATTGCAGAAATGAAATAATATACGTTACACACTAATATACAATGTGTAAAGTGGACAATCTCTTAAAAGCGTATAGATTAAATGAAAATAATCCCATAAGTTCATGTTAATTTGTTCCTCCAATGTACTCCTGCTAAGATACTAGTCTCCGAAATTAGAATCTGAGAAGCATTCCTAAAAATAACTTTTATATTGCCTAACAGAGAGAAAGAGAGAAATCTTTTGTATCATTTTTACATTAAGCTAAGGTCGTTAAAAGTGTTTGATAAATTTTTTTATATTACGTCAGGGATGTGTTGTGGAAAAACATTTTACATGAATTTATAGGTTTATTTTCACCTGATATTATATACTCCTGGAAGATTGTCTATCTTTATTGAAATGCTCTTTATAAAGAGAAATAAGATATAATAATTTTCATATAATCATAATTTTCAGTAGTATAACGCAACATTACTTTCTCTCTTTCTGAGATAAAAAGGTTTGAAAAAACAATATATGATACCGGAATAAAGCTGCTATTGATTCCTTAAGTATCGCTTCACATGTTACATCGGAAAACCTTAGTGGTCTTGCTTGATGGAATCCACTGATGGAAGTATCGAGCCAACACTAGCGTGTCGGTTACGGGGTTAATGAAACAGAAGGGTGAACAACCCTAGAAGTAATAGTAGGACGTGACTACTTGAATCCTTTGGTATTTCACACGACGAATCAATCATTTATTCTGCTGCCAACATTTAATTAATCTAATTTTCGTCAAATAAAACTTCTTTTTAGTTCGTACATAATGAAATTCTCAGCTTAGAAAATACATTAATGAAAAAATCTTCTCGAAGCACAAGACCGTATAATTTTAAGGAATTCTTTCCTCACTTATTTTTTTATTTTATATCTGATATGCTGCAAATATGTTACATCGAATATATACACGATTATATTACACAATCAAATATACGACTATATATATTGATATGTTATATCAAATATACAATTTATGACGCTGTCGAGCGCGCACACGGTAAATTGAATTCCAATAATGAAATAACGTCACGTTCCAGCAAATGAAGGTTTATCGCCATCGTGTTGTCGCGCGTTTCGGACTGATGCACATGATCGGCACGAATCTGTCAGTCTGGTTGAACGTCCTCGTCCAGGAGACGAAGCACGAGATCCTCACCTTCTACAATCCGGAAAATAATTCTCTCCGAATCTCCCATAGGCTAGGTAAGTATGTGAGAACGATTCTTTATCGAATTTCTTCATCGAATCGATGAAACATCTGACATTTCCTCACGACGTCCAGGCTCGAAGGGTGGACTTCATCTCGGCGGCCACACTCACTCCCATCACGGTGAACACGTGCGACTACCGCGCGGTCTCAAAGGACCCCATCACATATTCGAGTGCCGACGGACAAATATAATGGGATCATTGGTGCAAGACGCCAGCCCCTTTCTTTTCCCGTGTACGATAGAGTACAGCCTGATTTGCGCGGCCATTTTATACGTTATGTGGAAAAACATTTCGAAAGCCGGATTTACGCAGCCCGTAACGCCGCCGGGCTCGCGTCACCATGCACACGCCTACAGGTACGGTGTGACAATATGCGCGCCCACAGTCACGATAAAACAATACCGCGGCGATAACAATACTACGCCTACGGATACGGTAACAACGGTGACGGTCCACGTGCGAGTGACAGTCTAGTTTACCGACTCATTCCATTCGCAAACAGCGAAATCAATTACGGATAACATCTCTCTTTGCACTCTTTAACATTTTAATATAACTGATATCATATATAATTCTGTTAAAAAATGCGCACTCACGAGATTTAGTCCTTTCCCGATTCCGTTGGGTCATATGTTTTACAGTTCAAAAATTTATTTTATGGCAGCATTGTTTAACTTATTGCTTTATATGTAACAATATCTACATATTTGCAATTCTTAAAAATATATGGGATAAAAGGGATTGAAGGCTGTATTTTATAAACGTTACTTGAAACTTGTCTTACGTGAGATACTCAAACCTGAATTTACGCCCGTGTCTTTATTTGAAATTTGTCTCATTGAACTTGTTATTTTGGTTTCTTTGAATTTTTTGTTCCTTCAGTTTGATTACAGGTCATGTTTCTTCAGTTGAAAAAACATGACATAATGTATTGACATAATATAATGACATTACATTTGCATAGTTACGATTCCACTCTGACTCTAAACTTAAATCTGAGCATCTCATTTGACGTCAAGTTTCAAGTAACGACTATTAATACGACCCTAACTCGCGACAAAACCGAACAGTTTGGCACATTGAAAAGATGAACATTTGACGATTCGCAGGAAGTCGCCTCACCATTACAGCGTGGACTGCGCCCGCGCGCACAAAGGTCTCTTCGTGGGTATCTTGATACTTGTACTGACCATCATCTCACTAATCCTCTTCTTCGTGCTCATCTCGCGACCCGAGCTGGTCAGCCTCGCCGTGACCGAGGTGAACGTTTGCGAACTCACGCTCTACGGGATGTCCACCTTGGCGACGTTGATCGGCATGTTCCAGATGCGCAAGTTGCGCTACGACGGCGGCAGAAATCTCGAGCTGGACAACATCCTCCTGGTGGCCGCGCAGACCGGCATGTTCATTTACTCCACGTTCACCATCATAGGCGGCCACTTCACCCTGCAAAAGCATACGGTGCTGGTATTGGTCACCGCGCTGGCCAGCGTCGTGCAGACGACGTGTCAGACCATCTTCATCTTGGACGCTTCCAGACGCTCAGTCGCCACCGCCGAGCAGATACGACGGAAGCCGGGCCGGGAGATCGTGACGTTCCTCTTGGTGACAAATCTGGCCATGTGGGCGATCAACACGTTGGAGAAGTCCCGCGCGGAATCGCACCCGGTGCAGCTGCACTTCTACGGCCTGTGGGCGTGGACTATAATAACCCATGTGTCGATGCCGTTAGCGATATTCTACAGATTCCACAGCACCGTGTGCCTGTGCGAGGTGTGGAAACGGGCCTACAAGGTCAAGCCCACCTATATGTGACGCAAGGGGTCCCGCGAGGTCGTATGGAAGACGGCAGGTGCCCCGCAACGGCTCTGCAGGAGCTTGCAGAGACTCGACGCCATCGCGGAGAACGATCCGGCGTATTTCATATGATCAAAAAAATCGGGCGCGTCGAGGCCGCCTCGACCGCAGGGCGACCGACTGTCCCGGCCCGGGGGAATCCGTTCGGTCGACGAACAATGGTATTTTCACGTGGACAAAACTGTTCTGGACGTTCAGCCGCGCGATCCACGCGACGCCACTAGTCTATACGCGTGTCATTACTACAAGAAATTCCGTCAGATCCCTGGATACCTCGAAGGACTAACGGCATAGAGCAAATACAGTTTCAAATGACATCTCTGGATATCATGTGCGCAGTAAACACAGTCAGTTAGAGAAAAGAAAAACGAGCCGATGAGAGAGCACTGATGAAAACGAACATAAACAGTAGGTTATTTAATTCGAAGGTTATTTATCGGAGGTCGGTGTCTCCAGTTAACCTTGTACAGATACCAGGCTGGCACAAATGTCGACAATTCCGTATAGTTTACGTAACACCGTTGCGAAAGTTCACTGTCACTTCCTAAACAGGATTAGTCATCCGCTGCTTGAAAAAGAATTAATTACGCGATCGTGTTTTGGATCGATTGAGAGAGGTAGAAACTGAAGAGGCGGTCGATTTCCCAAGAGCCTTTCGTTACAAATCCGCAATATTACATATGCACGATTTTCTCTCGAGCTTTATGCCGGAAATAGTGCTATTGTATAAATTATAGAATCGGCCAATAGCGCTACAATTGAAGTAAATTTTTTTTATTCAACAGCAATATTATTATTGAAACTAATGCTCAAGTTATTAAAACAATATATGATTAATTTCAATAATATTGCTATTGAGTCGGAAAACAAAAGGAAATTCCCATTAGCGTTTGTTGAGTAACTTAAAAAATAAGGATAAAGATTGATAGAAATATATAAAAATTTTATTGAAAATCTATATAACTTTACATCTGAACTTATCATTTCTTTAGGAAATTTCAATTTCTTATATTTCAGTCTGTATAAAAAAGTTATTAATTTCTTTCGTTTCATACATGACTTACTTTTAACAATTAAATATTATACGAAGCGATTGAATATTTAGCTGAATATTTTTCCGTGTAATTTTATCAGTTTTTATCCAAAACACGATTCAGTTATACAAATTTTTCTTACGTAATTCTATCAAATCTCCTAAGCGAGGCAATTCCATTAACAGCATTTCCTTTTCCGTATACTCGGCCATCTTTTCACGATTTCCACGTAACTAATCCTCTACTCAACCATCGATATATGTAAATAGCGGCCTCTATATCAATTATATCGCGCTAGAGAAAACGGACCCGCACGAATTAAAAAGATTCGTGAACCGCAACCGTGAAACGCGCAACCGCAAGAATCCCGGGTTTCGTATCGATAAACGATAGATATCACGTATGTGTCGATATCTCTCTATCACTCGCCGTTTTCCCACAGCTTTCGTCCTGAACCGTGACCCTAGAAGAGCAAGAGTGGCAGCGCGAGATATAGGGGAGAGTCAAAGTTCATCCGAATGTGCTAGAGAGTTGCGATTGCGGTAGATAAACTATCCCACTGTTATCTTCTATCAATCCCGCAATATCGTATAGGAGAAACGGATCACTTAGCTGTTCGGAGATGTAGCTAGAAGGTGATGCAATCACTCAGCTGTATTTTTCAACAGATCTAAGGGTCGATTTTTAAAAAACGGCTTAAAGATAGATTTGGGTTTGAACTCCGCTCGAGTACATCAAACACGTTGTTACGGGAACAGAGCTTGAACTTAATCTACGTTGAAACTACTCTATTGAAAAATCCCTAAATAGTTAAACTGACTAAACCTCTCGATATAGGATCCATTGATAAACGTTGATACAATATTATGTAGATTCTAAAGGCTCGTCTCGTCCGGATATATTTAAACGTTTTCTGAAAATTTAATGGACCGAAGTAGAAGGAGGGACGCCAAAAGGTTACAAAGGAACACAACCGACCAAACGCACGACTCGTAGGTGGCGGAACGTCCACTCGTTAGAAGTAGAAAGGATTAGATTTCCTTAGAACCAATCTGATCGAAGCGTAGTTCTTCGATTTCACGGGAACAATGAACCTTCGTTCGATACATTTTTCTATTTCTGAGCGAGAGGCCGAGGGAGAAGAGTTGAATTTCCTTTCTCCTCGAAAGACTGAAGCGAACGTCGAGAGAATGGCCGGAACACCAAATACAAATCCTGATCCACTTCGACGCCGAGTCCTCGAAGGGGGAAGAGTCCGTTTACTCGGTTTTCAGTTAGAGTAGTCTTAGAATTTGCGAACGTTTCAGTATCGCTAAGGATTCGCTCAGTTCAACTGGAAAATTCTTTCCAATAATTGATGCAATTAGAGGAAAGTATTTTATTTCGAAATGTTTGCAAGTTCTGAGATTTCTATCACTGATAATTGAAAAGATAAGCATTGACCCTCTACTTCCGGGACACGGAAGTATACAATTTTGTTGTTTGGTGCTCTCGCAATCGAAGGCATTTGAACGTTCTTACGGATATCCGTCTTCCACGTAGTACAAAATGCAGCTTAATCCTGGAACACTGGAGTGAGTAAATTCTCATCGAGCGCGATACACACATTGATAGTTAGTATAAAGATACATAAAAGAATAGTTTGAAGTTTTAATAAGGCAAAGAAACCCAGTAAACAAAGAACATTAGATCAGCATCTTGAAATATTAATTTTATGCGTATCTCTTGAACATTTTCGTTTAATATTTCAAAAACATTTTAAAGATATTAGTGGATAATACGATCATTTTGAATATTGCAAAAATGTTTTAGAAATATTCAAGTGTCGAAGTTATTTGTAATAATGTTAGCACAACGTTAAAAACTATATATTAGAAAATGTTACACGTGTTAAATATCGTTGTAATAATGTTCTATGAATGATTTTTTGTTTACTGGGAATCCACACATATTCCTTTCCTTCTAGATTAGATCTTGAAATAAATAAATAAACATTTTGATATAAACAATCTAACTGATCAAATCCACTCAGTGTTCTAGGATTAAACGACAATCGTCGCGTCCATTCATATGAGAACAAAAATTGCGACGGGAGAAATAGATTACGAATACGTTCGATATAGTAACAGACAATATTTTGGTACAATGATATTGTTCACGAATTTTTTGTGGTAAACAAAATTAACCTTCTTATCGAATATTACAGTTGCGAAGCAATTCCTAGCGCAGGTCCTAAATCGTTCAGCTGTGACGTCAACAAATGGTTGCAGTAACCAGACAAGTTCAACAGAAAGAAAATTGATCGGATTAATCTAATGTCTGGTAAAATATGAACGAAAGAGAAATTCTGGTAGAAGTTACCAGAACTCTGTTCAAGTTAGTAAGATTTTTGGTTAACTAGAAATCTTGTTTGGTTAACCAGAATCTTGTTTACTCGAACAGAATTCTGGTAACTTCAATCGGAATTCTGGTTCACTCATATTCACTAGATTTGGTTAATCTAACCAAATTTTTTCCTCCGTGCAGAAATATTCTAACAGCGAAAGATCTATTTCTCTCGATTTCTTGTTCAGTAAATTCAAAGTCGTTACTTGTTTCGCGAACTTAATATTTTCGAACATCTAGCATGCTGTCCATATAAAGTCGGTCCATGTAAAGTCGATAGAGAAAGACCATGTAGATATTAAATACATGAACACTTTGATTACCACGTCACTCGTATCTAGGATAACGCGTGTGTTTCCGCAAGAGTGAATTTCATAGACGAGTGAGAGTTTTACTCATTAGAAGAGACTTTTTAAAATATTTATAAGGATATCGCGAATGTAAAATGATAAAAACGTTTCTGCTAATATACTAGTTGTGTTAGAAACGAAATTATTTTCTTTATTATAAGCGATATTGTATGTATTCAAGATAACATTTACTTTGCATGATATATTCTGGGAAATAATCCAATATATAATATAATTATTATGTATTAAATTTGTCTTTGAGGTAGTTGTTTTCGGATAAATTTGCAGGATAATATATTTTGCAATTTTAGATTGGAGTATCAAAATTATATAAGAGATTAAGAGTTAAATATTCACTGGATAGTAGAACTGGATGCAAGCATTTATTGGTACGGTTTATTTCGAATAATTTTACTCTATATACTTTATATACGGCCGTGGGAACTGGGAGAGGGCTTGGGCCTGATGGGCCTTGTCTGAATCCAGCGTGGCAGTCAAAGTGTTGCGAGGTAATCGAAATCAGAGAACGTTAATTCTTTAATACCTAATAAGAAAAGATGTACGCACAAGAAAAGTAAATACTTGCCGTCGTAGAAAGCAATTAATTAGGGACGGTGATATTAGTATCGCTGTTAAGATCATGACCTATGAGACGCACGGATATTTTTATCGTCAGCGTTAAATTTGTATCGTCACATTAGAAATTTATTTCGAGTCAGACTCGGAGAAACGGCTAGAAACCGATCGACGAACTCAAGTATCGAGTATCTGTCCCAAACTCTCTCGTGCAATCTTCAAGAGGATATGTAGGATGCAGAGCGATAGGCAACGAGACGGAAGAAGACGTCCGGAATAGGAACACAGTACAATGGCCGATCATATCATTGAGCCTTAATCCGTCGAGAAGAGCACTGTCTGAACTCTGGTAAGAGATAAAGGGGATCAAAAGTCGATCACGGAGCCGAGCGCGATCTCGAAACTGAAGAAGCGACCTACTCGAGTTTCTTTCATGCTCAACTGACAAATGTGATGATGAGATCACACGAATGCGAAGCGAAGCGAGCGATGAACGAGTCAGTGTGTGATCGTGTACGGGTGTGCGTGCGTGCGTATGTGTATGTGTGTGTGTGTAAAAGTGTGTGAGTATGTGTTTGTACATGGAGCGAGAAAAAAGACGCAGAGAGAAAGGAGGGAAAGTCGAGAATTTAACGGAAATATAGGCACACTTATAGATAATACGTATCTCGTGCTAGAAGCTTCGATATCGATTATCGCCATTGCGAACTATAGTTATCCGGTCGGTGCAGTCGATTTTTTGTAAGATATATCGTTTCTCCAGGGCGACTGTAAATAAACGGAGGAGAATATACAATAAAGCAGGTTCTCTCGGTGTTTAGCGCTAGTTGTGTCGACATGTTTCTTCCTATAGTATATATATATTATATATATACACACACATATATATATACACAAAATACAAATATATTTATTATTATGTTGTTCTATTATAATATATTTATTACAACGTCTGACATAGGATTTATATACGCGCGACGTGTTACGTTTATTGAGAGTCCTGAGGACTCATGCCGAGATCCCATGTTTCTTCTTCTTTTTCCTTTTTCTTCGTCCGTTCATAGTTTTTGTCATAATTAATTCAAAACAACGGGAACGTCAATGTGGAGCGACAATACAGTCGCTTTACGCTGGAACGAAAATAGACTCTCTATCAATAAATATTGGAATTAATGTACTGTTGAATTCAATTGTTACGGTCGAATTGTTCGAATAACCAGCTCTCTCTCGATTTTATCTTTAAATAAATATCATGAGAGAATCTCTTTCTCTCTCGCCGGATATTCTTGTGTTACTCTGTGTTTCTCTTTTCCTTTCTTTTTCTCTCTCTTTCTCTCTCTTTCTCTTTCTCGTGCACGTGGTTGATGCATTTTGTGATCTCGGCATGAGTTTTCGCCGGAAGAAACATAAAACCAAGGCGAAATTCATGAAGAACGCAATTCACATTTTGCAAGTGATATAAAAGAAAAGGGCAAAAAAAGAAAAAGAAACAGCAACGGGAATGTTCTCTTTATTATATCACATCTCTAAACTATACTTTTTCTATGTCCGCATAAAATCTAGTTCCTACGCAATGTTTGTACTCTTATACCCTTTGTACTATTTGTACCTTACGAATTGCAATACACTCGTCCGCAATAACGAAACGTCTCCCTCTTTCATTATACCGTTCACCACGGTCGCCCCCGTTATTTAGGATAGAAAGTACGAGGAACGCCGAGCTGATAAAACCGCAACTCTATTGAGCCAGCTGCGCCGGGTGAGAAAGCGACGTCGACGTCTCGGGATCGACTTAGATCGCGGACGATTCGCGACACTTGAGATCGGACTTTCTAAGTAATGCGAGATTGTCTCGCGCGACAGGCAGCTGTTAATAATGCGACGACAGCGGGGAATAATTGAAATAGCGGCGCACCCGGCGGCTCGTGGCGATCGAGTCGACCCAAATACCGCGCGGTTCCGGTGTCGACTCCGCGAATACGTTCGTGATCTCTCGTTGTTGAGGTAGGCCTTCCTCGGGTCCAAGGTCATCCGGTGACCGACCCTCAAACTGAATCTAATGGAGACGAAGCAGCGCGACTTTCTCCTCGCGAAATCAATCCGTCCCGCGTAAACTGGGTCTCCTAAGAAACGTGTGCTGAGGAAAAAGTTTATTACTTTCACTGAAATTATAATAATTTTCGGTATCAATTATATCTTCTTGTTGTTTTTATTAGAAAATAATAGTAGTAATATACATATAAGATTATCATTATTATCATTATAGCAACATTTACTAGAAATATAAATCCCCTGACTATAATTCTTTTACCATATGTGGTAAAAGAATTGTGTGTATTATAGTTATAAATATTTTTCTTAGTATACAAATTTGGTTAACGCCATATCAGATTTGATAGTCATTTCGGCATCAACTATGACTCCTTATTGTTCTAACAAAAAAGTAGTAATAGCAAAATGCGTGTAAGGTTATTGTCACTAACATTATAAAGGGGTTAAAAGTTAATGATATAAAAAATTCATAACTCTTTTTATACAGTAACATATATGTTTAAAATTGTAAGTAGTATATGTTTAAAATTCTTTTTTCAGATTGTACTTTTGAGCCACTCTGTAGTAACATTTACAATGCAAAAATGATTTCTCTGGCTGTAATCCTGTGCAATTATATTTAAAAATATCAAGTATTTTTTTTCTCAGTGTAATCTTGATCGTTGTCGAGTAAAAAAATAGCTTAATCACATTTTATTATAAAACTAATGCTTTGTTTATGTAATTAAGTTATTGAATATTTCTTCTAGAATTAATTTCCAAAAATTAATGACATTATTGTCAACTATGCTTTGTCGTTGAAAGTCGGGCTAACGTGTCGCAAAATATTAATGTATTTTGTTGTGATAAGCATCTAGACGCAGTGAGCCAACCGAAATTTTCGATGGTCCCTTTGTGCATTTGAAAATACAGATGTGGAGAGGCTGACCGCGAGTATTTCATATTGAACGTGCCGTTGACGCGACAGAAGCGTTTCCCTGAGTGCTCTTGAGAGGTAATTAGTTTAACTGATAGATGGAATACGCGCTCTTAATTAACTCGTCGACAAGTAAACCAGATCGTCTAAAATAATTCACGCAGTATCTATAAATACTGAGATCACTTTATGCCAATCATTGTCTCATTAACTTCCGATTAAGGTCAGTGCCGAACAAGCTGTTTCCAAATATACAGCATCTCGTCGATCTAATTAACCGCAAACTTGCAATATCAGCAACACAAAGCGTATTAGACAGTATTTAAACTTCCGATTGTTATCTTAACTTGAAGAGAGATATGAAAATACACATCCTCAAATCTCTTCAAATATCGTCCACGTACATATGGCTCATAAAAGTAGGAACAATTCCATATTCCAATATTTATTATAAACTAATATTTTAATTAGTTATTAATTCTGGGCACTGAAGTATCCTGAAATATTATCTCTATATTCATTATTTCTTCTCACTTCTTATTCTTCACATAAGTCATTTTATATACAAAATATTAGGGTAAGGTTAATATATTAGGTGTATGCAAAAGTTTGTAAGAATTTTTATTGAAATTCAAAAATGATTTTAGAAAAATAAGAATTTGTTAATTAGCAAAAATATTGCCCATTATTTTCAATGATTCTTTGCCAACGTTCGGGCAAAAGTTGAATGTCTCGCTGATAGAAATTAATCGATTTCATTATTTGAGCCAAATTCAATCCTTACGAAATTATACATAAATCTAATAGAAGATACTTTACGAAATATATAACTTTTATTATTTTTTAAATAATAATCTTTTATTTTTTATTAAAAACACACATTAAAATAAAATATAAAATATTTTGGTAAGTACAAGCACACACACACACACACACATTTTCCCTTAATCTTGTTTTTTACTTTTACACGTAGATCAATAATGAGGATATATTTATGTACAGATAAACAAATAATGCTGTGTAGGAGAATATTAAAGTGGATGACGAACTTCACAGAAGTCGAACGTAAATGCGATTGTCAAAACATTACGTCAGATAAGCACTAACACTAAATCGTTTTACTATATTTAGTGGCAAATATAGTAACTAAATATATATAAACATCATTCTGCAAACTTTTCGTCCATTTTAAAGCTTCTAAATTTAGTTGTACAGATAATGTTTTCTGAAATTCCCTTGAGAGCGCGTGCAAAGTAAACATATGCTTGGTATATACAAGCGGCGAAATCTTTGTATATCAAACAAATATTTATGCTAACTGACAGCTCGATGTATCAATCATAAAATTGTTTATCTTTTTCGTCATATATTGAGCAATGTTTCAATTCATTTTTACACGTACATTCATTGTGTAAATACATCTGTAATCCCGTATAACCAATACACTGAAAGAAAAATATTTAAAAAATAAAATATATTTATTCGGTGAGTATTATAATGATATATTTACTTAAATCTAAATTCTTCTGTTTAAATAGAATAAATAATTGTTTTCGTGGAAAGCTAAAATTACAAAGAGGTATATATTTTCTTACCTGAGAAATATTTTATATTAATATAAATAAATATATATTATTAGTTTCCATTAAATAAATAAATAAATATTTTTTTATTTCTTAGATATTGTTTCTCATTGTGCGCAATGTGAACTTTGCATAAAAAGTCAATAATGTAACGGTAAAATTCTCAAATGTATGTGTGACATCCCCTTTGGGATGTGTGACAAAACCCTTTGATTTCCAAGTATCGAATATCAGGGTAGTATCGGCGCGTTGAGTACCCGAATGTAGCAACATCCTCCTCATGCTGACAGGATTAATCGCGATGCGCCGTTATTAGTATATTCCCGTCGGCAGCACGACAGGCGAGCATCCATCGATCCTACGGAACTATGAGAGGTACGAAAGGATACAACGTGAATGGAGCGGCTACGAGCACCGGACGATGCATCGCGTATACGTAGGCGTTGCGCGTACTTTTTACCGCGACGCGCGTGAGAGGAACGTTGCGTAAGGGAGCGTGCGAACGGAACGACCCTTACGTGCCCGGCTCGATGTCTAATGTTTGCTCACAGATTGCTGCCGCGCGTGAGTGTGTTCCTCGCTCTCGGTTTCGATCGCCCGCTGCCCGGAAGGCGCATGAATCAGGAACGCGGATGTTTTGCGGAGGTGCGTCGCTGCGAGATCGACTGAGGCCCGCTTTAAAAGAGAAAATTTTTTACGCGCGCCCTACGCATAGAAAAATATCATTCTAATGTTAAGAAAAGCAGTTACTCAGTTTAGTTTCCTTCTGTTGAGTAATGGTTATCTTCAACAGAGAATATTTCCTTCGCAATAGCCTCAAAATAAGAAAAAAAGTACCCATCGCAAATTGTAGAGAAAATTATTCTTTTGTCGTGTACTTAAAAGAATAACAAATTTGTAAACTTTGCAAACATTTTGGTTGACAATTCAACTCTCTTCAGTGCATAATTGATAAATATGTATATAAGAATGTATATGATGTAAGTTGTTTGATGCAAAAGTTTGCCGAATCACGTATCAATTCTGACGAAACGTTCGAAACGTTTGCGAAGTTTATAAATCTTACTTTTAACTGTTTTATATTGTAAATATGCATATTGTAAATGTACATTAAATTTATCACACCTTACAATATCTTGCGCTTAACTCTCATTGGCTTTATTTTATTTCGGTTAATATTCTGTATTAAAATATTAAACCTACTAAGAATATATATACATTTTGAATAAATTTGATTATAATATATAATTATATGATAAACTTATATGATAAACTTATCATCCTTGTGTGTACATAAACTTATAAAATATTTTAAACAAGTAACATTTACTTGAGTTTAGTATGTATTTTTCTGTGTATACACGGGAAGATATGTTGA